TATCACTCGTAATATTTAAAATAAAATTAGTTTTTTATCTCACAGCAATTAAAAATACATTTCAATAATTAAAATGACTATGACTAAATAAAAAACGATGAATATGAAGAATAAATATTTTTTTTTTGTAAATAAACAAATTAAAAATGAAAAAAAAAATAAATACTAAAATTTTTTACTTCCAGACATGCCATTTTATATTTAGCAATTTTCTTCCAATTTTTTAATCAGATCTTTATCAGATGACCCAAGTTTAGATTCTTTAGGATCAAGATTACGTGTTAACTCGTAATATAACTAGAGCTATAATTAAATCCAAAAATGGCTGAAATATTTTTTTTCTAGACACACAATAATAATAATAATGATTCCATATATCTCTAAACATTCGCGTGTTTCTCGTATTGCATGATACTCGTCCATGGCACCGAATGTCGATCTCGAGTTATATTATGCTTTGTCATCGTCTTCTTGAAACCAAATTGCTAATTACTCGTTCCAAGTGCAATTTTCATATGCAGTCCTTGCATTTCCTTTCAACGACTTTCCGTTGATGGAAACGTAATGTCTAATTGCTAATTACTACTTGCTAATTAGAATTTCAAACTAAGAAAGTAATTATCTTGAATCACGATTCTCATGCTTTATGATGTTTGTATTTTTTGTTTTTATATTTCTTGTTGACAAGGAAGTAATCTGGATGTACTTGGATTGCATAAATTCCCACGCGCGACACGAATGATCGTTGTCACGTGCGTGCGCAGGCACGCGTGCTATTCAACGCAAGGAACTGGATCATAACGCGGCCACCGATCCTCGATATCGCGGTACAATTCGCTTAGCATAGAGAGCAGCGCGTGGACGTTGTCGGTTTGTGGTTGACCCGTGCCAAGCCGCACTTTGATACCTCTGTGGTTACCATCATGCCGGCATTACTCAACTATTGTCCTCTGTCTCTTTCTTCATATCAAAGACCGGAACTGCTTCATTCCGTATTCTCAATCGACCTCCTTCGACCGTCGTCGATACAACCTAACTCATTTAAATAAAAAAATCAGAGCTTTAATACAACGTTAACAACCGTGAACTGAATTATTTATTTAATTAAAAAAATATTTTGTGATTTATTGAAGCTTATTAGTTGAAATAAAGTTTAAAATCTTTATCTAAAAAGTGAATGACAATGAAAAAGGTTGACATTTTTTTTTGCATGAAATTGATGTGCTAAAAACAATTGTTTAATGAGTATCATTAATTTAAAATTAACTTTTGAATCAATAAATCTGTCAGCATAAATTCTTCTCCATTGTGATATGAATCTTTACAGTTGAATGCAGAAATCTAAGTCTATCTTTAAAATCCATTGGATCGAAAGGTGCTCGAGGTTGCAATTGATTTGATGACTTTCGCGCCCTCGAAGGCGACCATTCGTATCAGATCAATGGACCTATTCGTTACTTGAATCATTTTTTTATTCTTACTAAATATTCATCAAGGATCTACTATCCTTATATATCATATCCTTGTATCTTTCCAACTCGCAAAATCGCTTCACACCTCATGGATTTCATTCTCTCAATGCTTCCAAGCCAGTCCAACCACGATCGCATTACAAGTCTCTCAGTGTATATACCCACACACACACACACACATACAATTGTATTATTAATCATACATACACATATGCTTATAATATACATAAACAAGGTTATTGTTATTGTTGTCAGTGCTCATTACATTTTCATACACAGGCATTCGGTGGATATAATTCGTCGTGGAAATCGGCATTGTAGAAACACGATTATCAATACAGAGGGTAGTTCTCTCACTACACTCGCTTTATCTTAATGCGAAAATCAAATCAGCTCGCATGGAATTAGAGATGGCATTACGGGGGCTATCGGATGTGCATATGCACTAGACACCCTCAACCAAAACGGGCGCGCACTGTCGGCCCGTCACAATGCTTGTAGAAGGGCGAGAACAATGCAACGATGGGGAAACACGAGACGACGCACATATTGGATGATATTACGGACAACAATCCATACTATTCTGTCTCTCTCTAGACCCGCAAAATGATGGACTGTATCCCAATGTCAGCCGAATCCATTGCGTATGTTTGCCTCTAAATTACCCCCACTTACATCTCCACCAGATATCCTGCAATTGGGGTCCTTATCTATTATTTCCACTATTCATTCTTTCAACTAAATAATTGTTTCCGAAGGAATCGATCGGATTATCTACACTAATTTTAATTGAAAAGTTGTATTCTTTATTTTTCATTTCATTCCTTTTATTCTGAAATTAAACAATTCATCTTGCTCCGATTACTTTCTATTTCTCCATTAATCCTATTTTGTTAATGAATATTTAAAAATACAAAGATAAAAAAATTGTTTAGATTCAATAAAAGTTGTTGATTTAAAATAAATCTTTTTTTTAAATAAAATTTCGTGATAATTGTTTGCCTAGTTGTTGATAAAATCAATGTTTTAGAAAAACATTTCTTTTTAGTAAATATTTACAAAGAAGATAAATAATTTTTAGAACAAATATAAAATAAAATTTATCTTATCAATAATAAGCTTTGTTTTTTTAATTATTAAAAATGACTTAATTAAAAAAAAATTATGGAAATATATTAATCATCATATGATGTTGATATTTAAACAAAAAAAAAAAATTAGTCGACAGGAAAATCGTCATCATAACCAAATTACAATTACAGATTTATATTTCTCGGTTCGTTGATTCGATTGGCGATTCGCGTGTAATCGAGCGTAGCTTACTCTGCACTACCCCACTAGACCAGGAATCATGAACAAACACATAAATATCTCCAACGCCCCAAGAAAATAAAACATCTTCCATTCTTTTACATTTGATTTCTCGAAAAAAGCTTCTAAGCCCATCAGCAGTAGTAAGACCAATATCATTTTTTATCCACCTCGCTTTCTTATAAACTAATTTCCTCCAACTACCCCTGACCTTCCTTCCCTATTTAGCCCTCTCCTACTCTTTTATTGTTTCGTCCGCTTTTGGGCCTACAATTGAATTCTCTCTTTCCATTACCTATCCATTTGTATCAACATTTACATTTATATTTGAATAATGGGAAAGTAAAGACTTGCAGAGAGAAAAGAGAGAGAAGATGTAAATGAAAAAAGAAAAGAGAGAAACAAGCGCTATTACATTTTTAAGCGTTTCGTTTTCAAGCCCGCCGGGCTTTATGTTATACTCTGGCGAAAGAAAAAAAAAAGTGTATACATGGAGTGAGAGTACTCTTCTGGGATTCTTTCTGATATTTTCGAGAAGTCGATATAATGGCTTTGTATTAACATTTAGATAAAGCTCACCTTGGATATTATTCCAGTATCTTTCCTCCGGGCTTTATACACCGTCCTCTCGTGTACAATTTTACCCCCTTTCTTTATAATCATCATCCCTGTACTATATATACAAGCTTGAAACTCGAATAATCTGGCATTGAACCCACCCTACACTAAATCAAATTGGACAAATGGAAAAATATGACTTATATGGCGTCATTATAGGATGAAACTATGCTATCTATAGATCATGTTACCAGAAACAAATAAAATAATATGTGAGGGGGAGATAATAACAGCTCTAGAAATAGATAGTGTGAAAAAACACGTTATGGATATCTGTCCATCACGCGATAGATAAAGCTAATCATTGTGATGACAATTATTTTCATATTAATTCTAGTTTATTTCTCAAGGAATACTTGTGCTTTTTTTTCGATTAAGTATTTTATTATCTCCTTATAGTATGCACCCTTTTGTGTCATTCATACCATCATCAGTCATGTTGACTTAATTGAAAAATTATTCTGAAAATTATAACAATTCTTTTTCAACTGTTATTTGATCAAGATTTCTCTTCGATTATCTTTAATAAATGTTCATTAATTTTAATAAATAATAAATATTATTTATTAATAATATGTTCTCATTTATTTAGATTAAAATGTAGTTGAAAAAAATTTGCTCATTATTTTGTTTTCTGTTTGCAGAGTAATTATGACAATTATTTTGAAACAAAGTATTTATTAATTAACACTAATTATTGTATTTAAGTTAAGAAGCATACATAATTATCACGTAAATACTCTTTGCGTCAATCAAAATAATTTTTACAACTCCATATCGAGTCACTTTAATATTTTACTTTAAAAATTTTTATCTCTGATCAATTTAAAAGCTAATCTTCAAAAAAAAAAAAAATATCGGAAACATTTTATGTGGGTTTTTGAAAGTAAAAATGTTATCAAGGTAATGTTTTCCCTGTAATTGAACCCAATAAATAAAGAAAAATATCCTCACGGGTAATCTTTTACGACAAGACGGGCGTGTCACTGAGCAGACTCGTGCGAGGAATTACTTATAGCTCAAAGCTCAAACCGCGTTGATTTATCCCACTCGTATGTGCGGACATATGAAGAAAGCTTTGAAACCCGGAACAGACTATATAACAACAGAGAATAACGACTTTTATACAGCTGTAATTTCCGTCATCACAAATAAACGCTTCACGATTTTCTGCATCTCTTTGCAAGGTGAATGTAATTCAAGCAAAGATGATACATTGAAGAGATAAACATTTGATATAGAGGAAGCTTTAAGCCACCATCTAGGGACGTCTTTTACGAGGCAGCATATTTCTGTGTCCTGGGCAAGTCAGAGAAAAGCCCACCCACTGTGTTAGAGTATAAGAGCAGTCAAAATAGCAACCGAAATCATAACTGGCGATTGTCCATACACAAGTCAAGTTATGAAGCAGTAAACTCCCTAGGTCGATTCCAGAACGACGCGGCTCGTTTTCTCTGTACAACCCTAACAGCAACTGCTCCCGTCTTATGGAATAATTTAGATGATTGAACTAAAGGGGACGCGGTTTACTACAACCCATTGTCCCGGATGTCACTCATTGTTTCGGATATTGCAAATATTTTTTGTATCTTCTCAAACCTGTTCTCAAAATGTTGGTCCATGTTATTTCTTTTGTGAAGCATTCGATCCAACACATACCTGTAACAAAAAAAAAACAACAAAAATAATAAGAAACGTTAATTCCAGTGAATTATCCAAGATGAAAACGCAAAGTTGCAAGACAAATGGATCGATAAATCAGACAAGCATTAGGCTGTACAACAACAACGTTAGGTCTCTCGCGCGCTGACCAACGTACCTTTTTTTCTCATTTCTCTCTTACACACGTTCTCCCGCCGTGCTTTCACGATTTATACGGGCAATATCGGACCGAGATAAGCGTGATCGGCACAGACGCGGACTCTTTCGCGTAGTGTCTGATACGACCACAGGACTATTAGTGTCAAAATAAAAATGTTGCCAAGTATATTGGACTGTGTATTATAGGCTACAGAGAGAGGGATATAGAACTCATTAGAAAAATCATGATTATAAATAAAAAATAATTGTTATGATAAATATCAAATAACGTTGGAAATAATTTAATGGTCATAATAAAAAGTATCTTGTTAAATGCTAAAGATATACAAGTGAGCAGGACCCGAAGCAGGATATAAATTCCAAGCTGGCGAGAATCACACCCCCTAAATAAAGTGACCAGGGGTGGCCACGTCGACAGCAATAAACTGTCTCTTCCTCTTCTCTCATCCTCTCGTTATTCTCACAGCTCACACGAGCGTGTCCATAAAACTTGGAAACAATTGTCTTTTATTGTTTTGTTGTTATTTAATTTCCACTCCCCGCGATACTGGATCTGCGGACCTAGAGCTCTACTGACGTAGACCCTAAATAATTTACGATCTTCTCTCACTGGTGTGTTTTAGATAGATAGACTTCGTACTGGAATACTGGCTTAGGTACAGATGTGTGTGGATTTCAGGAAAACACTTTCTGGCATTGTTAAAACTATTTTCAGATATACACCTACACCTAGGATACGTAGTCTTTCTTAGTGGTCAGCTGGATCCAGCGAGAATTATGACCACAATAGGGGTCAGCGGGAAATTTACGAGCACTGAGATACTTGTATTGCTTTCTGATACTCATTTTATTAATTAAAATTGATAGGATGAATCTCTGGTTTTATTTATCTTTTATTTTTTTTATTATTCTTCAGGATTATAATAAAAACGAGAAACCAACATGCTTTAAAATCTTGCCAATTTTTTTTTAACAATAAATGTAATGACAATTGAAATAAAAATCTTATGATACAAATTATTTAAAAAATTTTTAAGATCTTTAATGAATTGTTGAAATAAAAAAATGTTTGTCATTGTTGAGGATGATTAAATGAATGAATGATTGAATAAGAGGTAATTTTAGCAACAATAATCCCGAATAAAAAAGTAGATCATGAGTTAGAATGATCATACATTGGACTATCGAGTACATGAATGGGTCTCTTGTTAACTTTGTCGTTGGTTTAAGCTCTATTTTTATATCCGTTCGTATGCAGGAAGTTGTGGCGGCCGTTTGCACATTAGGGGAGCAAACGAAGCTACTCTACACTGTTCATACACTCGAGTTCTCCCTTGGTCGCGATAGCGAGGGCCCAATGAAAATAATTATTAGCACTAAGTGGACGGTAGTTAACGTGTGAGAGAGGTACGATGACAAACAGAGAACGAGATGTAGTTGAGCAGTTACGTTGAATCATTGATGGGTACTCTTGCCAACTCAAATCAATCCCGTTCAACAGAGAGGATGCGGATCCATTGGCTAGATAACTGCATTTCATTGCATAATGACAGTAGTATTGCACAGTGATTTGTATTTAAAAGAATAAATATCATCAAGTAAATAAATAATCAAAAAATATATATCCTTATTATTTACATCCAACAATTGAGCTAAATCATCATTCAACTTATCTACAATATCGACAGGTGGCAATAAAATCGATAGGAATTATGACGAAGATCACATCTGCTGCCTGAAGGCATGAAACATTGACTCTTGGTACATGAGTACATACATTCGTTGAGTCAGAGAGAGAGTACATGCTGCGTAATAAATAAATTCCATGGGGAGAAAGAACATTGTGTAGGACATATATAAATAAACGGTTTACGCTTGGGACTTGGACGACCCTTTTTGCAGCTTCACTCTTCATCTTTTCCTCTCTTACCATGATCCTTTACAACTTTATCTGGCAGTCGCACTCATCGCGTTTGAGTTATGAATCGTAAAAGATAGATCAGCAATCAAATATCACCACCACCACTTCCTTCAGCTTCCTAACTAACCACCTTTTTTCTAGCTTAATGCGAAATATATGACTTCTCAGAACTTTCCTCATTGTTTTTTATTATTTGTCAGTTATATTTTTGTTAAATTAGGGGAAAAAAAATTTGCAATGACTTCTAAAAGACTCTAAAGAGTGAATAAATAATCAAGATGGTCTTGAAAAAATAATGAAACTTCTTTTATGTCTCTCTTTTCTACTGCATCGTAAGATAAGATTGAATAGTATTTTCCTTCAGCACGTAAGAACAATTAATTATTTGTAACAAGTGCAATTTGTTTGTCCGGAGCAGACGTGTGAGTGTATGTCGCTCGTTAGTGCCACCGTGATCAGTTTCTTTTTCTTATTCTCCTACCAATGCACACCATCAGCATAGCACGGGAAAACATCAACGTACAAATGCGCCAAGTCTTTAATTCTTTCTTTGTATTTTTCTTATTATATTACACCTTCGTCTGTTCTGACTACTATACCACCCACTTGAGAATCATCAACGCGTGCGTGCAAGACTCGCTCTGTTACTTTTAAAGAAACGAGCAATAAAACAAATCTCATCCGGAAGTGCGGGAGAGTTGACACCTGCGAGCCATGAGAACACGTGTTGTTTTGAGAAGAAGACGAACTCTTGAAGTTGTGAATTGCAGTGAGCACTATTTAAACGGAAACAGTTGAGATATCACGCTCCCAGGCGTGTTGTGTGTGTGTGTGATCTTGCTTTGTTACTTATACTTTTGCTTTGAGTAATCAAGGCCTTGACTTGTATATTTTGTTTTAGAGACATTCGACGATTGAATCTGAATCGACTAAAATTATTTCCTTCCTAAAAAAAATTTTTAATAATAAAAAATATATTTTTTTAATGCTGTACAGCCTAAAATATTTAGTAAATTTAATTTTGAAAGGCTGTATCTCAAAGTATTAGAGTTAAATAAATAGATTATTTTGTTTAAAATAATTTTTACTATTTATAAGAAATTTTTGTTATTTATTAAAATTTATTCTTTCTTTTAAAACTTAAAGTCATCGAAATTTTAGATCTATAGATCTGAATGCATATATATTCAACAGTATTAATTGAATAGTACTTTAGTGATTACAATAAGTAAAAGCAGGAAAGCTATAATTTTCTAAACAAGCTGATCCGGTAAACAATATGATAACTATAAATAATGAGTCTAAATTAATCGTTCCCTTAATGAATAATTTATCTATTTTTAATATTTACCATCGTTAATGTAATCAGTGTAATGTAATGTCTTGTACATCTATTTGGAATTTCTCATTCTAGGTCTAAGTGTAGCATTGAAAGTTCAAACTGAGGATAAACTCTTGTCTAATAACCACCTTATGTTCCATATATTTTTCTATTCCTATCTTCGTTACGTTACGGCGGGTTTAACGAGCACGCGAGAATACATTTTGCCACCCAGCGTCTTTTCTCTCTGTATATACTCTTTAAAAATTATTTAACGCACTTAACGATGCATGGATACTCAAATACTCTTCGTTTACCTTGTTTTTACCCTCTAAGCTATAGCAATAGAATTATTTTTTTTTTTCTTTTTACTTTCAACTCGTGACAAAGTCATGCGTTGTTTCCGCATTGTTCTTACTTCATTTTTATCCCTTTTCCTCAAGTGTATGTTTGAATGAAAACTTCTCGAGTTAACTTGACCGACTCTGGTCATTGTATACGTTTCTCACGTTCGTGTGAGCTTGTAATCTACTTCAAGTATAATTACAAGGAGCAAAGCAAAGATAGAAACAGAGGGAAATGCAAATAGGCTCTTTTTTATTGCCCACTTATTTTTAATAATAATTCTAAATTGATCAGAAAAAATTTTATAAAATAAAAAAAAATTATTTTGCAATTAATAAATAAACAATCTTCGTTTATGTAAATAAAAAATGTCATTAAAAAATTAAATATTGTGATTAAATAATTATTACAATCAAAGATTTAAATGTGAACAATAAATAAAACAAAGTTTTTAAAAATAATGAAAGGTTAAGAAGATAAATCTTACATTGAATTAATTAATAATTAAAATCAGCGAATAATTTATTAAAAGATCCTGAAATAAAATATTTTTCATTATATAAAATTTTTTAGCGGTTGAAGAAAGTTATACTTGATTCCCATATATATATAAAAGGTGGAATTATATGCTATTCGACGTCTGGCAATTGAACGAGTATAAACGTGAGCCGGCTGTGGATACTTATTTCACACAGACGAGTATGAATGTACACATACCATGATCTAAAAGATCTTATAGGAGTATTACGAGAAATGGGAGTCGTGAGGATTCTCAGATACGACCAAGAGGACCCTACAGCTTAATCAACGGTCCGAGTGTTTATGATTTTTGTTATTGGCCTCATATTTCGCGTTCATCTCCCTTTAGTTCACACCCTCCCTGGCAATTCCAACTTCACACTTACGTCTAAGTACCCGGTCGAAAACGTTTAGAGGGATGAAATTGACTTGACTTGGTATCACTTGAGACCATAAAGCCAATGAGTATATAAGTCTCTAAGTCCGTTGATAAATCTGATGACTCTTTCCTTAACAAACTGATGCTGAAGCCAAGATATTTTCTACGAAGGCGTTTCTACGAGTGTTTGTTCTGATATCAAAGGGAAAAAAAACGGAAAATGTTTAAAGAGAAATTGAGATGAGAGGTAAGACATGATTGAGTCTTGTTCGGGCAATCGTCCAGATGGCTTGGTAAATATTCCAGTCTTTCCCCCTCAAGTCACACAACGCAATCAGTCACTTGCTTGGACA